TTTTTTTTTTTTTTTTTTTTTTTTTTTGAGCGGGTTAAAAACTCAAACCCAATTTCGAAGGCTCGATGTACATTAAACTGATGTGTATCTAAATGATTTAGGGGTAGTCTCGTAACTTCTAATAGTGAATCTATTTCGATCGATAGGGGTCTACATTTATCCCTATGTGACTTACGAGTCTGTGAGTGTGAGTGTGCACGTTCGGAGGAAGGAAATGAGGAGAAGAAGACAAAAAAGATAGTTTCACGTCGAACTAGTTTAAAGTTATTCAACACGTGATACATGTGATTATATAGACAGTCCCTGTTGAAGTTATTTACTGAGTATTTATAATATTCAATATTTTCATTTAAAAAATTACAAGTAATGACGGAAATGTACAGGGTGCATGATGAGGTGCCCTATTGATATGGTTTCTAAAGTAATGACGGTAATGACGGAAAGGAGCTTATCGATATGGTTTCTAAAGTTTTAAAAAATGTTTCGTGGGTTTGTGAGATTTTCAGTTTTATATTTAATCAATTCTTTATGTAGTAAAGAATCAAGTGACGCGTGTCCTTGACCGCTACGTACATCTACCCCTACCATCGGGCCATCAGGTACATCCACCCTCCAAATAATAAATGAATATAGAAGTAATAGAGTCTGCCCACTTTCTTTTCTTTTGAATTTAAAATTATTTTAATTTAATAGTAATAAGAACGGGTATCTAACCTCTTGGTCAAGTTCGGTTGATTCACACATAAAATGATAGGTAAATTATATCCGAACTATGGTAACTTTTGTGACGTAATAAGCTCAAACTGAAATAAGCATGTTGATCCGAGAAGATTGTAACCTAAAATCAACCTGTTAATTCATGTTCGGTATACCTTATTCGGTCTCGTTTGTACAATTGAGGTAGACCGTGGTTACTGGTGGATTTTTTTTTCTTCTCGAATATACATCTAAAAAATTTAATATTTTTTTGCTACAAAATATTTGTATTTATTTTTCATGAAAAAAAAAACTAAAAAAAATTAAATTATTTGTTAATGTAATCAAATTAAATTCTGTTTAATAATTATAATATTGGTCCGTCCAAAATTTTATTTCATAGGTCTTATAAATCTCTGATATTTAATATATATATATATATATAATAAATTTATAAATTATTAATATTATACTTTAGACTTTTAAAAATGTATAATAAAATTTTAAAGAATTATTATTTGTTTAAAAATTTAATTTTTATTTGGTTGAACATTTTTATTGGTAACTAATTAAATGTAATAGAATAAATTATTGTAAATTAAAATTAAAATTAATGTGATTTAATCCATTGTTATTAATTAAAATGAATACTCTTACATTATAAACTAAATAAAAGTAATTAAATACGTATAAATTAATAATAAATTATAACAAATACTTAAGATAATATAATATGAATTAAAAATTTATTAAAATTTATTAGTTCTACGTAATATATGTCTTAATAATTAATAAAAAATATTAGTAATAATTAATTAATATTAGCTAATTAATTTAATTAATTAATAGAATTTTAAATTTAATGGACAATAATAAAATAGGTGAATTGTTAAATTATTAAATTATTTAGGTTAATTAATAGAGTTTTAAATTATTAAAATGTTTAGGAGAGAATATTCAAATCGAAATCTGAATAAAATAAACTTCTGAATTTGCTTCGAATTATCTATTGATCGTTGAAGAGAAATCGGTGTTCGTCAAAAGCGGCAGTCGTCGTCGGTGGCGATGGCTCGGGCAGGTGGTCGGAGCAGGAGTGGGAACGAACCGTCGGGGGGAGGGTTTCTTAAGGCGGTTTTCAGATTATTGAAGATGGTGGAGTTTGAGATCCTTTTCGTTCTCTTCTTCATCGTGGCTTTTATCGTTTTTAAAGATCTCGTAAGTCTCTCTGTTATTGGTCTGTTGTTATTCCTGCTCTGTCTTGAGGCATATTATCTTAATTGGATTGGATCCGCTCTGTCGTTGTTTTGTAATCTTGTTTTCAGAAATTTGGTGTATGTTAGTGTACTTTGATCCTCGAATTAGATTTGATCGAGCAGCTGATGATCTTTTCTTTTCTTTCCTCGCCGTTGTATATAGTCACTGGTTTAGAGTAAACTTATGATACGATTAAAAATTTTCGCTAATTTTTGAATGTAAAATACAGATTTGTGGAAACTTCTGTCTTTTTAGTGTACAAAATTTGGCTAGGTAGAAGGTAGAAATTATCTTTGAAAGTAGATAAAACAAGGAAGAAATTTATGCAAGTATGATTGGTAGGCAAAGGAAAAAGTTATCGTTTAGGCTCATAGATATTCCAACAAAAATTCCATTTAACAAGCCGTTTAACAAGGAGTTAAAGAAGTTAAAACAATTCCTGGATATGATTGTCCTCAACAGGCAATGGTTGATTTGACTACTGCCGTTGGCTTGTGAGCTTTGCTACTCGGACGGATGAATGTTTAGGATTGCAAGCTAAGCTTTTGAAATGGCAGAACTTGCAGTTGTTGCAAGCTCACTTTAGCCACGCTGATGGTTATAAATATTCCTGCCTATTTTCTTCTCATTGTGACTAAGAACTTGGAGAAATCTATTACAAATTTTGCACAGAAAGCTATCACTTGTGATTGTGATAGCCATCACTGCATGAGATGGAATGAGACAAATCAGTAACTCTATATATATTGTTTTCTCAAATTTTCTTTGCTGACACAAGGAAAATCACTCCAACATCAGTATTCATTTGCTTGTCAGTTTTCAAAGATTTAAACATTAGGTCATATGGTTGCTTTTGCAAGTGAATACTCATCTTTTCCTTTCTGACAAATAAATAAATAACTTTTGTACTTCATACTATGACCTTTGATTTGGAATTTGGAGTATGTATGGCGTTGTTTCATAGGAGATTTGCCCAGTTATTGCTTCCTACTCCGATTTTGATGTTGATTTTTTGGTAGTTGTGGTAGTTATGGATATGGATGCCCAATTAAGGGTATGTTCTAGTACCCTGTAGAAAAAGATGACTGGAGAGAGAGACATTTTAGAGAGAAGCGATTTATGTAACCTTGCTTGCTATCTGGTGAAAAATCTAAGCCTAAAATATGCCAAGTATTCACAATATGGAAGGAGAAGATTTGCACTAGAGGAAATAAAATACGTTTAATGAATAAGAGTGCAAGCCCTGCATTTGATCTTTTCCAACGGTAACTGAATAAAGGGAAATGGTCCAGATTTCTTTTTATAACATGGAACCCTATTTTCTAAGAAAATTCATGGGTCCAGAATGAAAGATTGCATAATTTTGAAAATATATAGGAACTTTTCTCTCTTCTTCACTGCAAGACCAGAGGATATTGCTGATGGAACATTCATGCCATTCAACAGTATTATTTCTCTCTTTCTTTCTTTCCCTTTTTTTAGAATCACTATTTCATAAGATTACTGTTGTGGGTAGCATCATTTGTTTCTTTTCGAGCTCGATTAGAAAGCGAAATGTCCTTGGAAGGAAAATTATTTATGTGATCGTACTTAAATCAGTTATCAGGATTCGGAAATTGCTTCTCACCTTAGTTCTATTCAGCTGGTATAAGTTTAGTTGTTTGTTTTCAGTTGAGAGGTGTAGTCAGTTCGAGATTGCCAGAGATACATGATATCTTGGATTTTCTTGGATAAAAATTTTAGAGAATTCTTATGTTGCTCGTTGCGTAGGCATCAACATTAAAGATTCATTTCATCGTGTATGGGTCTTGTGAGCTCATTCTCCATTTTCAATAACAATTCTCAGATAGATTCAGTGTTCTTTATTCATTTTTGTGCTGAATTTAGTTGTGAACCGTGGCATTATTTATTTATGTTTTCTCTGAAGCAGAGTAGAGTCAAAGTAGGGTCATAAATGAACGCCTATTTCAAAGCACTTTTGTAATCATTTTCTTGGTCTTATTGTTTTTTTATTGGTGCTCGTTTTAATTGTTAAGGTGTTAGAGTTTGTTTTGTGCTTTGCCTTTTTGTATGCCACTTTTGTTATCTCTTCTGAATGAAAGCATGTAAATTTATCAATTTACATCTTAAACTTTCATAAATAGGTCAATTTAGTATCTTCATTACATTTTTTTAAACAGTTAATACACAACTTTCACATTTTTTTTAAAAGATTTTAAAATGTGAGAATTAATGTAAATTAGATTGAAGCGTGCGACTCGAACGGATTGTAGCAGTTTTTTTATTTATTTGTTTTAAATTTGCGTGGTTTTCATTGTCTTCTATTTTTCTATACTTATTTAGTCTGTGGAATCTTTGGAGAATAATTTTGTTTAGGCGATTTTGAGTTTGTTTTAAATGAAATCAAGTGAAAAATAGCTATAAATCGTTAACTAACGGTATAAATTGATTCATTTATGAAAGATTAAGGTTTGAATTTATACAATTACTAGTTTAGTTTGTAGCTTTAATACTCAACTCTCAATGCATAAATTGATTTTTGTCCAAATCTTTATGTTGAAACTACTCAACAAAAATCTAGCATAACAGATCGTGAACATTCTTATTTTTCTGATTGTCTTCCTTTATTGATGTGCAAATGTTAAGAGATTCTAATCGTGTGGAATTCAATTGCAGACATCAAGGCCAGAGTACAATCAGATCCTTGTAAAGAAGCCTGAGGGTTTTGATATGTGGCCATTCCAGTAAATTCTTGACCTTGCATTCATGTAATCTGAAATATTCACTCCACTTTCTAACTTTGTGTCTTTTTATGATGATGTAAAAATGTTCGTCGATGTAGACGTTACATCTATACTGTCGTACGTTCGAAAGATTGTAAAGTAAATATTGGTTTTAGAAATGATTTGGAATTGTCAAAATAGAAAATATATCAAGGAAAAGCCGAATGTTGAAGGATATAGTGAGGATTTGTATAGACTACGTTCTAAAAATTTAGAAATTTAGGTTTGAATAGTATTAAAAGTACATTCGAATCATTACTAGTTGATAGATTGTGCAACTTCACATTGGTAGGAGAACAAAACATTACTTGGATGTGAAAACCTTTTTGAAGGAAAATCTAAAGAAATCCAAAGAGGACAATATTTGCAAGTAGTGGGCTTCGAGTGGTATGTCAATGAAGTAGCTAGGCCCCCAAAGGTGAAATCATTACTATTTAATTCGGACCTATTCTAAAAAGGTAGACATTTCAAATTCGATCATGGTATCATGTTATCGTGTCTGTGCGGTGGGCAACACTTTACGCCCTCAAAAGGTTCGAACTTGAACACAGTAAGAAGTCATCGTCACAAGTCCAAAATATAAACAGGAAATAAACAGTTGTTTCAACGAGTGGATACAAACAAATACAGTTAAAGCAAGCGGGTCCATAATTAAGAATCGATTTTCACACCTTCAAGACAATTTTGTGGTTTAGTTGAAGCCAACAACATAACTACTCCTGCTTGGCATTCTGTGTTGCATCCTCTGGAGCATCACTGCTGCTGCTGAATCTAGCCACGAGCTCCTCGACCGGGATTTTAACAACATCACGACGCACTCCGATGTCAGAAACATATCGACTAACACAATACATCCCCATGCCCACAAGCGCTAGACCGCTACAACTTGTGGTTAAAAATCGAAGTGGGGAAGAAACAATCGCACTTGTAGCGGCAAGAAACGATGCAGCCTGCCCGCTCCTACCCACGCTGAGGGTCGTGTAAATAAGCAATCCTGTTTTACAATAGATGGCGAAGTCTTCACAATTGTTCTTGAAGATGTTGTACATACCAAAGCCATTCTGGAGAAGAAAAGAAGCACGATGAAGGACAACTTCAGACGAATCGGAATTAGCAAGAGTGCAAGTCCCGCCTCGGGCTTTCGCGAGAAAGAACATAGGCGTAACGCCATATTCAAAGACATAAAGATCACCTCCTCCAAGAAAACAATCCAAGCACGAACAGATTACTCCGTCGCTATTCGACTGATCACCACATGCAGGACATGGATTGTCTGGAGATTGAACAGATGAACTAACAAGGAATCGGTCTAACACAGTTCCAGAGCCAACCTCCAAGCCTCCTCCACGAGTGAAGTGGATCACCTTTCCATCACCAACAAAAACCCCTGGAGTAATACAAGATATTCAGGATTGAGTACTTAAAAAGGTTGTAACATTTATAGAGAAGCTTCTACTAATAATTGGGATCAACCCGTCACTTAAGAACGTCGATAACTTTTTATATTCTCGAAGAATTCCTCTATGGTATGATGAACATGCAACAATAGATTAAGAAACAACTTCCTTTGCCTCATTCACTTTCCCTCTCAAAAGAAAGAGCAAATACACATCCATTAGGACAGATAATACTGGAAAATCTATTATCTAAGAGCTTTCAAAGCCACTTTAAACATCTAAGTAATGAACCTATGTAACAGCTTAGACTTGTCCTCTGGTATAACACCTCAAGCCTAGCTATCCTCGGGTAGATAACACCTCAAGCCTAGCTATCCTCTGGTATAACAGCTCAAGCCTAGCTATCAGATAACAGCTCAAGCCTAGCTATCAGATATTGTCCTCTGGTGTGAGCTGTGAGCTTAGCTATCAGATATTGTCCTCTGGTGTGAGCTGTGAGCTTAGCTATCAGATATTGTCCTCTGGTGTGAGCTGTGAGCTTAGCTATCAGATATTGTCCTCTAGTGTGAGCTAGCTATCAGATATTGTCCTCTGGTGTAACAGCTCAAGTCTACAGCTATCAGATATTGTCCTCTGGTATAACAGCTCAAGCCTAGCTATCAGATATTGTCCTTTGGTGTAACAGCTCAAGCCTACAGCTATCAGATATTGTCTTCTGGTGTAAGAGCTCAAGCCTACAGCTATCAGATATTGTCTGGTGGTGTAAGAGCTCAAACTTACAGCTATCAGATATTGTCGGGTGGTGTAAGAGCTCAAGCCTACAGCTATCAGATATTGTCTGGTGGTGTAAGAGCTCAAGCCTACAGCTATCGGATATTGTCCTTTTTAGGCTTTCCCTTCCGAGCTTCCCCTCAAGGTTTTAAAACATGAGAAGAGGTTTCAACACCCTTATAAGAAATGTTTCATTTCCCTCGACAACCAAGTTGGGATCTCCAACATAGCCACCCCAACCAAAAAGAGTGCTCGATATTGCCCCTCGGGCAAATATTAACAAGTGCAAGTAAAAGTAGCCAACATGCAGGACATGGATATTGCCTCTCGGTCACTGTTTGACTGATCACCACATGCAGGACATGGATTATCTGTAGATTGAGCAGATGAACTAACAAGGAATCGGTCTAATATACAATTGGAAGGGAACTCAAAGTAGCCAATGGAGATCCCACATATGAATCACTTCAGGGTTCTAAAAAAATCATGAGCAACACCACTGGAAAGTCACCAGAGCAAAAGGGAACTCAAACTCTTCAGACCATAATCAAAGAAATTAGCATAAATTATAGCTAACACCGTCCCTATCCACCCCCATAGTTCAAGAATAAGACCCCAATCTATTTCGGATAACTTTCAAACTACGCAAACGACAATGAAATGACAATTTCTAAAAAAAAAACAAAATAACCATGAAAGAAAAACAATAAAGCAATCAGAAGGGAGAAGAAAAAGTAAAATCAGACACATCTGCCATATTTAGGTAGTGATCATAGAATGCCGTTACGCAATTTAGGGCAAATCAGAGCATGATATACAAAATGAAAAAGAGGCGATCCCCCAAAATAAGAACAAAATCACAAAATAAGAAATCCAAAAGAAAGAGGAGAGAAAGAGAGGAAACCGTGATGAGCATAAATATAGGCCTGCCTCCAAGAATAGATATGATCCCCCGGTTTCAATTGCTCCCTCGAAATCTTATTCGACAGCACTCCCATCTTATGAACTACCAAAAAACGATCTCAGTTTTCAGGATTCCATTACAAGGGCAGAAGAAATTCTTACGGAGAGAGCTGAAGAACTAGCGGGAAGCGAAATCGGAGGGGTCGTGGAGAAGATCTAGCGGAGAAATGAAGCAAAATGCATTGGAAAGGATAAACTTTATACGACTGAAATTTTTAATGTTGTTTACTTCCATCACAATCCAATTTTATTTGTCTTTAAAAAAAATTCAATTTAATTGTTTTAAAACAAAATTTTAATGTGTCCATGGGAGCCTTCTCGGAACATCGGGTTGTCTAAATTGTTGCCCTTAGTCTACGCAAATCAGGAACCCGACTAACGCGAGAAACACTTAGAATCCAACCGAAAATGTTCGAAGAATATCGGGTGAACTAACATTCTTATTGAGACCTTAACTCATAGGAAGCAAATTGATGGGCGGAAAGCTCGGGTTGGAATAGGACATTCCATAAAAATCTTTCTTTGTCGGGTTTTGGTCAGGTTGAGACATTAGACCCGACCCAACTTTTTGTCTAGTAAAAATTTTCGACTCAAACGTCTTTATTTATTTTTTTTGTAAAATAAATATTTATTTATTTCAAAACAATCCATTAAAATTTGTAACTTAATTTCATTTTATATTTTTTAAAATTAATTTCATTTTATATTTTTAAAAAAATTACTTTTCAGTCCATAAACAATAATAAAAAAAAATTATGAAATAAGTTTATGTATATTTTATTATATAGTAATTAAAAATATATATTTTAAAATTAATAATAAATTCGAGTTTATTCAGTTAAATACTCGTTTATTTCAATTCAATCTAGTTTGAAATTTATTTATTTGAATATATTTAAATAAATTAAATTATGCCTAAAGTTTATAAAATTTTAAATTTTAAATAAAGATTAAAAAAAAAGAAAAAATGATTTAATTTATAATTTTAAGTTTTAATTTCAGTTTCGAAAGTGTTTAGAAAAAAATAATTTTGATTCATTTAATTAATTTAATTTCAATTTCCAAGTGTCTAGGAAAGATAATTTTGATTTAATTAATTTAATTTTGTTTTGGTTAACGAACAGTTTGATTTTATAAATAATTAAATTATACTAATATAATATTTTAATTTTGTATTTATCCAATCCCTAAATTAAACAAAAATCAAAATTAAATTAATATAATTTTAATCATGATATTTAAAATAATAAATAATAAAATAAAATTAGTAATAGTTCTATCCGCAATTTCACTTAAAATTTTAAAAAACATTTATTATACAGGAGGTTCCCAATAAATGTTTTGTTCTCCTCTCTTACTTCGGGTCTGTTGTTATTTCTAACAGCCTCGAGCCCGCTAGCATATATTATCCTTTTCGACTTTTGTTTTTTAAATTTTCCAAATTTTAAAACGGGAAAACGTTTCCAACCCACTTTCTACCTAAATTAATAAATTTTATTTTATTTTTATTTTAAAACCAATTCATATTTTAGAAACTAAGTGTCATACGCGGGCTAAGCGGGCCGTAAGCGCAGTGGGGAGACTTCCTAAAAAAGTCGATCGGGGGCTAGAGTCAATTTAAAATGAAGGGGACGACCCTGGTGAAACCTAACACACTAGATGATCGATATTCTTTTATGAATGTATTACTGCTATAGGTAATTGGTCACCCATTTAGAATATCGTTGCAGTATCATTATATCATAAAGGAGCAGCTCATTGTCGGTCAATTAAGATATATATGTGAGCTAGCCACGTATGACACTTTTAGAGGCAGTCAACGACTCTTTATAGTCCTGATATAGTACATCGTAATGTGTTATGACACAATAACGAGTAGCGTCGAGAATAAGTCTAAATCACGGGCTTGAATAGGTCACTCAACTACCACAATAATGAAATCAAACGAAAATTCAACTGAAATATTGTGAATCGATGAAAAAGTGAAGCGAGGGGACAAGTTTATAA